CTCCCAGGGGCAATCGGCAACATAATTGCCCATCTGACCCTCGGAAATCGGGATGGCCACATCGTTCGGGATGGTGTCGTGACTGAAGTAAGTCATGCCGGTGCGTCCGAAACCACCTGGTCCCCGAGGCGATGTCAGTGGGCTGGGGGCGATCACGATCTCGGCGTCGTCGCATCGTTCCAGGATGAGCTGGGCGACGCGGTGGCCCTGCTCGACTCCGTGGGCCCGCGGGATGGTGCTGTGCACGATGACATAAATCTCCCCGCGGCAGTCGGGGTCCACCGCGCCGCTGGTGATGTCCATGCTCTTGAGAGCGAGGCCTGGGCGTGAGGCAATGCGTGCGCGTGTGCCTGGTAGTGCCAGTGCTGTCGCGCCGGCGGATACCAGGTCTCGGCCACGGGTCGGGATGCAAGCGTCGGAGCCAGCGTGGAGGTCGCAGCTGGCGGAACCGGTGGCGCTTCGCGAAGGGGCTCTCGCATTTGGACTGAGAACTTGGACCTTTAGCCCGTGAGATTCTCGCCCGTCGGTGTCGCAGTGATACTGGCTGTCGCTGCCCACCGCCAGCGGCGCTCAGGCGGCAAGCCCCCGGAGTGCGGCTGGGGCCCGCCGAAGTCGTCGACAGGGATGCAAAGGTTTCCGCTCGGAGTGGACTCCAAGTCGAAGTAGGTCGCGCCTGGGCTCCGCGCGATCTCGTTGCCGCCCGGCCCTGGGAAGGTGAGGCGTATGTGGTTAACGCCAGTCTCCACCACCCCGTTGCTGGAATGCAGTGGGCTGCAGACCTAGCGGGGCAGGGGGAGCGTCGCCTGCGCCCTCCAGGGCCAGAGCGCGCATGCTGTGCAGGGTGGTCACGACGTCGTGTGAGTTTGTGGCGAGGGGGGATGGATTTCCCGATTCGCCACCTGTTGCCCGTTGCCCGCTCCTGCCGCGTGTGGTGGAGCGGGCGACCTCTCCCCCGAGGGTTGGAGCTTCGCCTGCGTGGCTCGCCGGGTCAAGTTCCGGGCGAATCGCGTGCCTCAGAAGACGGTCCAGGCGCCAGTGTCGACGATGGCGCCTAATCGGCCGCGCGACAGAAATCTGCTTGCCAGGTAACGCGGCGAGTCGCCATGGAAGATCGAACCTGTACTTGGCGAAATCGGCCGCCAGGGGGGTGCAGGCCCGTGTGATGTTGGCCTGTGCGGAGGCAGGTGCAATTCCAAGTGGGCATCACAGGGTGCTGGCGTGTCTACTGCGGACGCGAAACTGGAAGTGCTGCCCGGGGATCTCAGAAGATCCTGCCGTGGTGTCCTGGGTGCTAGAGCTGGCTGAGGAGAAGGTGCCGTGTCCTGCCGTGGCGGTGTCTCCTGAGGCGCGTCTCCTGCTGGCGTGTCGCGGTTTGGCGCCGTGGGCGTCGCTCCCGCAGATGCGCGATCTGCGCCAATCAGGCGAAAGTCGGCGATGACGTCGGCTGGTCCGCGGCGCGCCAGGCAAGGAACCAAGCTGGTGTCGGTGCTCTGCGTGAGCTGTAGATGGCGTGCGCGGTGCAAGATGCGTCGGCGCCGTAGTCGTGCAGCCCCCCCGCCGTGCGCGAAGGCCTCGAACCAGACAAATGGGGCACTCCCGATGGTCGCCGTTGAAAACAGCAGCTGTAGGAGGTGCAGCTGGCGCTGCGGCCGGCGCCGAAGGAGGGTTTGTCGGCTTCTCTGCCCAGCTCCGTGCGGCTTGGCGCTGCTGGTCTGCCTGCTGTCGCAGTAGCTCCAATGCTAGACTGTGTGCTGTGGAGCTCGTCGAGGTTTCGTCGCTGGGCGTGGTCGAGAATGGAATGTGCGCTGCGCTCGGACCGATTGCCGCCAGACATCCATGTTTCGCGGCCGGCAAACCGCATGGCCACGCTCCCCGATGGTTGGCTCGCGTCCACTGGCCTGTCTGTGTCGAGAGGAGCCAACCCGCCAATCCAAAAGGGAGTGTCTGGCACTGGTGGTGGCGTGGGTGCCAGTGCCCATTGTGGTGGCCAGGAGGGGCTCTGTCCCCGTGGCGCGCTGACGCCGAGCAAGGCCGCTGAGGGCATGTGCGCCGAGCTCGGCAGCTGCACGTCGGCTGCTGGTGTCGCGGGAACTGTGGTCTGCGCGCGGGGGCCGCCCAGCCAGTCGCGCCCCCGGTCCTGTCCCAGAGGGGGCGCGCCGCCATCGCGTGTCCACTGTGGTGGTGCAGACGGTCCTGCTGGAGCTGTCGGCGCCGCGTGCGCGGTTGGCGCTGGCCCCCCCGCTGCTGCCGCGTGGGTCTGCGACGTAATGCTGGGCCCCAGTGGCTGAGCAGACGCTTGCGCGCGGCGCGTGAGATCGTTCGTCTCTGGTCGTAGTCGTCGTAGCTCGGCGTCGCGGGGGTTGGGCGGTGACGGTGGAGATGCCGTGGCCGCCCAACGCCGCCGCTGACTGCGGCTAACCTGCTGCCGCGAACCGTCGGACGACGTGCTTGGCGTGGTAGCCGCTGCTGCCGGCCGGGGTGCTGCTGATGTCGGTGCGGGCCGTCCGCCGTTCCAGGGGTCGGCGCCCTGCGTTGGAATCGCTCGCGCTAGAGCCTGCAGACATAATCCGTCTATGGCTGGCGGTGTCCCAGATCGTCCAAGCCGCGTGCGCGTTCGTCAAGGGCTGCTGATCAGCTAGGCGCGGTGGCCCATGCTGGCCCAACGTTGATAGTGGTGTGGGCCCTGGTGGTGCTGGGGCGTAGGCGTTGAGAAAGAGAGCGCGCCCTTGGCAGCGGCGCTGGGGGCAATGGCGCACGAGGTGTTCATCATCATCGCACTCCCGAACGCATGCCGCTGGTCTGGGATCTCTATCTCCCAGTGCCCTCCCCGGAACCTGCAAATGTCTCTTGGAACGTGTTCTCGGACAAGTCGGCCAAGAAGGCTCGGTGGCCCTTGCCGTGGTCCTTGCCTTTCCGTTTAATGATCCTCCGGGAGCGGCGCGTGGGCTTGTAACTATTGAAACGTTGCCATCGTGCTATGGTGCGCCCGCGAACCCAAGACAAATGCGCGACGTGCTGTTCCACGGGGGCGTCGTGTAGCCCGGGGTCGCCAGACGCTATTTCTCATGTGCCGAATGAGCTGATGGTGTCGGTGTCGGCGCCTGGGTCGGCGGCAGCTACTTGGCATGCCTCCTGCGCTGGTGGCGCTGGTGCAAATGGGCTCGGTGACGCCCCCGATGCTGGTGGGCCCAGGCCGTCCCAGCTCGATCCGGCTGTAGCGACATGGACACTCTGAGTGCCCGAGAGGAAAAGTCTGTGGTTGGGTTGACTGGACCGCTGTGGCGAGATTGCCAGGCGATCCATCGACCAAGTGCGTAAAACGTCGCAAGTTGCCCGTCATTTGTGCGAGTCGTGCTGCGCTGGTCGGGTAGGTCATGTTGTAGTGCTGCAATGTCATGGTCAGTCGGCGCGGTTGCGGAGGATGGCAAGACGTGTGAGGAAATCATCTATGCGCTGCCGTGACCGTCGATTTCATCCATGAGTGCTGGGGCTGCTGAGGCGCGCCCTCCTCGCCCAGTTGGCCCGGACGTTCGGCCGAACTGTGCGCCGGGAAGGTCGTCGGCGGCACTGGGTTGCCGTTGATGGCGCCTCCCTGTATGAGAGCCGCTGGCGGCCCCTCGTCCACGTATTCTCGGGCCGCGCTGGCGAGGCGAGATGCGACGTGGATCGCCCGGCGAAGCTCGTGGAGGTCTGAGTTCGATACTGACCACAGCATCACCTCCAGCACCCAGCGTTGGAAGGGAACCCGAGATTGCTGCTCGGCCCAGCCCCCCAGGTGCGGAGGCGTCGCATGCTGCGCTTGCAGCCTCCTGCGTTCAGGCAGGTTAAGCAGCTGGCCAAGGCGAGCGCGCCCACTCCGATGGCCTTCCATCCAGAGTGGAGATCCCTGAATAGGTGAAGCAGGTGCTGGAGGCCGGGGGCCCACCGGCGGCGTTGCTCTGACCGTGAGCCTCGCAGCCGTCTTGGGTCCCCGCCCCGAATGTGTTCCTCTTCGTCAGCGCATTGGGTGTTATTTTTGTTGTGGCGTTGTGGCTGTCAATGCACCCGAAGCATCCCGCAACAGATTTGCGGCTCTGCCCTTGGTGCGCCGTGTCGTTACTGTGCTGATGCCACCAACTGCACGATCGTCCAGAAAAATGCGCATCGGGATCTCGTCCTGCCAGTCTGAAAACAAAACCACGGTGGGTGTGGCGATCTGTAATGCGCCAAAAGAACTAAGACAGGTAATCCCAGACCTGTTTCACTGTCCCTTGGAGAGATGGCAGCATACTTGTTCAACGCTCCATTGATCTCCCTCTCTTGCCCAATCTCTAATCGACCTGCAATTCCAAGGCCTCCCGCAACATAGTGGCGAGAAAATCGGGGCCATGCGGTTCCGAGAACGTTTCCAACATAGTTGGATAGCGCCCCAGGAGAGACGCAGGCAGCGGCGGCGGGTGGGCACTGCGCTCCTTGAAATTCTTGATGACGTACTTGTTCTGGTCGATGTCCGCCTTGTCGTTTGATTTAGCGATCCCGAGGTGGACACATGCGAAGAGCAGGAACACCGAGCGGGCTCTTGCCGAACACAAAAGGGATGATAGGAAGGATCCGAAGAGCAAAGGACTGGCGGAGGCTTCGCGTGGGCCATGGCGGCAACAGGGAGTGGAAGGGAACCGAAGCTCCACTACCAACTATGAAAACGAAGGTTGGGTAAGCGGATGTTCTTGTCCTACGCGGACGTGAGTACGGGCAATACACGTTTCATTCAGACACGGACACTGGCCAGTCTCCGCGCCGGGACCGACACGGCAGCGGGAAAAATAAGAATATTGAGCTGGGCAAAAAAAGGCAGGAACACCAAACGCGCCACCACCCGAGTCAAAGGAGGAAACGGAGGAGGAGGAGGAGGAGGAGGAGGAGGAGGAGGAGGAGGAGGATAATGAGGACAAGCAGGAGGAAGGGGGCGAAGAACGAGGCGGCGGGAGTGGGCGCCGCAGGGGGCGGCGCGGGGGGCGCACATGCCCGCGTGCATCCCCTGTTCCACGGCCAGGCGCCCCGCGTTCGCCAGCTGGCGGAGGAGCTCGACCTGGCAGTGGGGCCCCCTCTCAGCTCCGGGTCCCTCCAGGGGGCCCCGCTTCCTCCCTCGCCTTCCCGTCGCCCTCATCGTCCTCGTCCTCGTCCTCGTCCTCCTCATTCCTCCTCCTCTTCCCCCTCCTCCTCCTCCGCCTCCTCCTCCTCCTCCTCCTCCTCTTCCGCTCTCCTACTGGACCAGTTGAACGCAGGCACGGTCTCCCGCATCCGAGGCGCAAAAGACCGAGCAACACAGTGGAATACACGAAAGGTCCGCAGAGGCTCCTGGCGGATACTACCACACCACATCCCGATTCGCACTCGAATGCTGCGCCCGCGCGCAACTCTCGACCTGGGATCTTTGCCAGCGAGGAGCGTAGACAACGATTTCTCAGCCGCAACATTACGAGAAAGGTCGTAGGACCGCTCTTTCACGAAACGTGATGGGGCCACCTCATCCTCCTTCTCCCTTTCCTCCTCTGTCTCCTCATCCTTCCGAAGAAAAATCAGAAAAACAGAAACGGAATAAACACAAACTTTTGGAGGTCCGCGCGGATTTCTCGGATTAGCGCTGGACCCTCCCCGAACGTTTATGTTTATGCAATTGTTTCTTCCTCGGCCCTCCCTCCTCCCCGGCTGGCTGCAGCAGAGAGGAGTCCCTTTCCCAGCAGTTGGGAAGCAGGCGACTTTTCCACGCACAGGCATGACGACGATGGACGATGACCGCTGGGGGTGCTTCTGTCCTTGAGGGGCTCTCTCATGTCCTCGCCCCCTCCTCCTGTCACCAGCCCTCCCTCGGGGGAGGAGGGCAGGAGGAGGTCCGATCAAGGCTTTCAGCATCTTCCGTTGCCCTCGGAGACCCCTCCTTTCCCTCTCTCCCTCCTTGCCTTTTCCTCTCCCATCTCCTACCTCTTCTCTCCGTCACCGCTGACAGGGAAAGTGCGCAAACAGTGGGCACACTTTCGAGTCGGCCTCATCAACTCGTAGCGCCAGGTGGCAGTTGGAAGGGAAGCTTGAGGGAGGCAGGGAGGGATGCATGGGATGCAAGGGGTGGGGAGGATGATGGAGGGAACGACACGGTGGAGGGAGGAAGGAGGATAAACAACCACATGAGAACTCGACCGCTGCAAGTCAAATTTCTGAAACGCCGGCTAGGGCTCAGAATCCGGAGGATGTCTGCAGCCGGGTGAACCCCAGTCTGGGTGTCCGATGCCCCAGCGTCGACAGGATCTGTAGAGGCAGGGTTCGCAAATGGTCGCAGCAGGGAAGGAGGGAAGAGACATGGAGGAACGGAGAGAGGGAGGAGACATGAGAATAAACAGGGAGGGACGATAACGAAGAAGGAAGAAAGGAGGGAGGGCGGGAGGAGGCGGTAAAGAAGGAGGGAGGAAATTAGGGAACAGGATGGCCACAGGGAGAGGGAAACCATGTAGCTGATACCATCGCGTGTCGACAGCAAGGGCCGGGCGACATGGCGCTGCATGGCCGAGCGCTCCAAGGGCTCAAGGTTGGGGCGCGTGAGGAAGAGGCCAGCGACGAACGCATTGACGAAGTCCTCCTGCGGCAGGCCGCGAAAATGGTTTTGCTGTGCAGTGTATGGCGAAGCGCTCCCGCCACCCTCCCGCTCGTGCTGGTGCCGCCGCTGCCGCCGCCGCGGCCACCTCTGCTTATGCCGATGCTGCTGGTGCTGCCGCCGATGCCTCGTGATGATGATGATGATGATGATGATGATGATGATGATGATGATGATGATGATGATGATGATGATGATGATGATGATGATGATGATGATGATGCTGCTCCGCCTCGTCGGGCTGGAGTCGAGGGCAGCGAACACAGTCCCCCGGCTTCGTGGCGCCCCTCCCGTCAAGGATCTACTGACCCGGGTCGATCCAGACCCGGGCCAATCGGGCTTTGCAAGATCCTGCAAGATCCTGCAGGATCCTGCGCCCAAGCTCGGCTCAATGCAACCCTGGCTCTGCAAGATCCTGCAAGGTCCGGCGCTCTGGCTGACCCCCGTTTGGATTGACCCCCGTCTCTTGAGCCCTGTGAATTGTGGGGGTCAAGACCCGTTTCTCGTGTTTCACTGGACTGACATGCTTACCTGCAGCGCCGGCGTTTGGGCCCAAGCAAAAGGAGCGCCTGTCCCCCAGAGCAGTTGCAGTAGGAGACTGGCAGCGATAGCGAGGTATCGGTCGATTCGATCGAGTTCTCCGAGCTGTGACCCCCACGACACGCTGAGGCTGATCGCGGGAGAGAGCACGAGCGAGAACGAGGCGCCCCGATCTCGCGAGAAAGCTCGTCTGCCAATCTCCACGCCGTGCTGTTGTGTGATACGGGCACTCGGTTGGTGAGGAGGAGGAGGAGGAGGAGGAGGAGGAGGAGGAGGTGGAGGAGGGAGGAGGAGGAGGAGGAGGGAGGAGGAGGAGGAGGAGGAGGATGGAGCGCGACCACAGAACTTCACTAGACTCGACCTCAACCGCTGTGCGAAGTGTGCGACCAGCGGGGACGCCACGATCATCACCCGTGGGGGATGTGGAAGCGGAGGGCAGACGGCAAGCATCGGGGGCTGCCCAATGTGTCCCTGGCCCAAGGTGCTCCCAGCTTCTCGCTCCATTTTTGGACCCCCTGGACCTGGAGCCCGCTGGGTCTTGTGAGGGGTGCCCTGGAGGCCGTGGAGGCCTTCTTGGAAACCCTGGTAGCACCTTGGGGCAGGGACTCTGTTCTGGCAACGCCCGAACTTACAGTCGACTTTGCTTGGGGAGGGCACGCGTGAGAACACAAGACTCTCCCGAGGGCAACACTGCCAGAGCAATGCAGAGGACATGGGTCACGAAACACAGGACACAAGGGTACCCTTGAATTGGGAGGGTTAACTGCTGCTCAAACTCGACTGTCGAAAGGCCTCCCCAACGGGGTCCGAATAGATGGGGTCGGAGGATCGCGCCGCATCGACGATACATCCGCGATTCATCGGCGATGCATCGTTGACGTCGGCGCTGCATCGGCGACGTCGGCGTGAAGAATCGGGATCAGGATCGCCCCGCATCGCCGATGCATCGGCGATGCGTGGCGATCCTCCGACCCCACCTACTCGGACCCCATCTCGGAGGCCTAGACTGTGCTCGTGCGTCACCACCGTGCCCAGTCGGGGCCGCCCTGGGCCCCAGCGCCGTGGATGGGAGCCTGCAGATGCCCTCTGCGGAGGCAGGGACGGGCGCCCGCTGCAGCCCCGGGGTGGCGGCGGGGAGGGGCACCGAGGTGGGGCGCCAGGAGTGTCACCCGTGGGGGACGTGGGAGCGGTGAGCAGGCCGCACAGATCCATGCGTCACCGCAATGCCCGATTGATGCTACCGTGGGCCCCAGCACCGCGGCGGGGTGTGCAGGCGCCCTCGGCGGGAGCAATGCGTGGTGTGTGTGTGTGTGTGTGTGTGTGTGTGCGTGTGTGTGGGTGGACGCGGGGCGCCATGACTATCACCCGTAGGGAACGTGGGAGCGGTGAGCAAGCGGCACATACCTGCGGTCGGAAACTTTTGCTCAGCGTGTCGCGGCGGCGGCCGTGTCGACACGCTAGGCCCTGCAAGCGGATAGCGTGTCGCTCCGCACCGCGGGGCGCGAGGCTCGGGCAGGCTGGGGACGTGGACGTGGTTAGCGTGCCGCGCCGAAGCGTGGTGGGCCAGAATCGACGGGGCGACATGCTGAGCCAAAAATCCTGACCGCATGCGCCACTGCCGTGCCCAGTTGAGGCCACCCTGTGCCCCACCAAGACCACGGCGGGGTGTCCAGGTGCTCTCTGCAGAGGCAGGGGCGGGTGCCGCCATCGGGCGGCCAGGCTCTCGGGGCCCTCGCGGCAGGGCGGCCAGGGCCCCCGACACCCGTCTGGGCGCGGCTGTGGCCGCCGCGGGGCGTCGGCACCGTGGTGGGCCTCGGGAGGCAGGGCGCCTGCTGCTCGTCTGCGACACTTGCTTTCGGGGCTGGGCGCCTGCTGCTCGTCTGCTGGCCATTAGCTGGTGGTCCGCTGGCTGGTTCGTCGCTGGCGCATTCGTCGTTCGCCGTCGCTGGTCGCCCTCTTGTAGCGGCAGGTCGTGCCGTGGCCCTGGTCGTTGGACAGTCGTTGGTCGCTTCCTGCCGCGATTGTGCTGTCGTTGATCGTTTGTCGTCGCATGCAATGGCCTGCTCGCTGATCGTACATGTGTTTATGTTGGTAGCGAGTCGGGCTCCTGTTGGCGGTGCTGCGCGCAGTTCGGGTGATGGACTGGCCAATCGCTAATCGTATTGTTCGACCCGCTTGGTAGCTCCTGGCGCCCACTGCGTCTGACGAGGTAAGCTTCTCGCTCACTCAGTCCCCTGGACCAGGTGGGGGGGCCGCATCGGGCGCGTCCAACAACGACCTGATCAGTGTGGACGTCTGGTCGGGCTTGAGCCTGTGGTATGCCAGTATGCTTTTATCGAATCTTTCTCCTACTGCCAACATCCCAAAGGACCGCTCGTGAGGTCAATCTGCACTCAACTTGCTTTGCCACGGCTGTGCAGCGTGGCCAGTAGCTGTGGTGACGCAGATGCGGAAATGATGTAGCCCTCGTCGTCCTCCTGCTCTTCCTCTCCCCCCTATCCGTCTGCTCATGCTCCTCTGCTCTTACTGCTGTCCCTCCCCCACCTTTTTCAAACACCGCCGTCACCATCACCACCGCCGCCACCATCGTCATCGTTGACGTTGTTGCCCTCGTCAGGTTCTTGCGAGCGCCCTTCCTGATCATCCTCACCAATGCAATCGTCATTGTCATCGTCATCGTCGTCATTATCGTCCTCGTCCTCGTCGTCGTCATCATCACCATCATCACCACCACCATCACCATCACAATGCCCATCACCACCGCCACCATCACAATCATCATCGTCATCAATAGCATCTACATCAGCGTCATCATCAACACCAACATCATCATTATCATCATCACCACCACCATCATAATATCCACCACCACCATCAGCAGCAGCACCACCAACATCATCATCACCATCAGCATCATCACCACCATGGTCACCACCACCATCATCATTATCATCATCATCAGTATCATCATCATCATCGTCGTCGTCATCATCATCGTCATCAACATCATCACCATCAACACCATCAACATCACCATCACCATCACCATCACAGTCACCGTCACCGTCACCATCGCCATCGCCGTCACCATCGCCACCACCACCATCATCATCGTCATCACCATCATCACCACCATCGTCATCATCGTCATCGTCATGATCATCATCACCGGCATCATCATCAGCATCGTCCTCGTCACCATCATCATCATCATCATCATCATCATCATCATCATCATCATCAGCACCATGATCATCATCATCATCGTCATCATCATCATCATCATCATCATCATCGTCGTAATCATCATCATCCTCCTCCTCCTCCTCATCATCATCAGCATCATCATCATCATCATCGCCATCATTATCACCATCACCATCATCAACATCGGCATAATCACCCACCATCACCAATCATCAGCAGCAGCATCATCATCATCATCCCCATCCTCATCAGAATCCTCATCCTCACCGCAATCACCATCATCATCAGCATCATCATCATCATCATCATCATCATCATCATCATCATCATCATCATCATCATCATCATCATCATCATCATCATCGCCATTACCATCGTCATGACCATCATCAGCATCATCATCGCCAGCGTCATCATTGCCACCATCATTATTATCACCATCAACTCTACCACCACCACTATAATGGTGGTCCCCACGGTCGTCGTCACCATCATCATCTTCACCATCATCGTCGTCGTCACCGCCCAGTAGGAGTTGTGCTAATAAGCTGTTGACTGGTGGGTGGGATGTTTGCGCGAGCTTTGCGAGTGGACACGCGCAGATGCGGTCTACATCTTTTCACCCTCCATGGACTGCACCACACAGTTAGAGCGACATAGCTTCAAGGCTTGCATCACATACTTTGCATCCCACACCTTGCACCACATATACTAGATCCCAACAGGTTGCGCCGCACAGACTGCACATCGAGAATGCAAGAGCCCTCTGTTTGGGGCCCACGCTGACACTCACGTAGCATGTTCCCGTGCGCGTCTGGGCCGCAGCGGCCTTCTCCCGACCCTCGTCGAGGTCCGCCGCGGTCAGGGCGCCCAAGCCGCTCCCGCAGCGCGCGCCGCGCGAGATGATACTCTCGACGAGGTCCTCGGCCAACCCCTGCTGATGCTGGGCCCTCCTCCTCCTCCTTTCCTTTCCGCGTCACTCCCTCTCTTCTGCCCTTGGCCCCCCCACCTTTCTCAAGCAATCTGCTAGGCGCACATATCCGTCGAGTCGGTGGCCGCCTGCATGCAGGCGGGGCCAAGCAGCCTCGATCACGCTACGCTGGGGTCACGGGCAACGCGTGCGCTCGAGCGGGGAACGATGGGTGGTGGATCGGCCTCAGCAGTAGTAAGAGATGCCCCCCCCACACCATCCCCTCTTCTGCCCTCCGTGCCCCCCGCCCCTCTCCCTCCATCTGTTTTGCCCTGCAGCTCTCCGCGCGCCACCGCCACCACCCCTCCTGCCCCCCCCCCATCATTTCCCCCCCCAAATAAGAGGGAGGGTCTGCGACGCCGGCGCGCGACAAGGGAGTGCGCGCATCCAGCTGATCCCGATGCAGCGGCACAGGACTGGCATGAGGAGGATCAGGATAATGATAAGGACCAGGAGGAGGAAAAGAAGGAGGAAGAGGACGAGGACGAGGAGGAGGATGAGGAGCGAGAAAGGGCAAATGAGGATGAACGTGAGGATAATGCTGATGATGCTGATGATGATGGTAATGGTGATAATAATACTAATGATGATGGTGATGATGATGATGATGATGATGATGATGATGATGATGATGATCGTTTTTCCCCAAGAAAGCTCTTCTGACCGCGCGCGCGAAGACCTCGTGTCCCGCGTTTTGACTATTTTTTGCAGGCCGCCGGTGCTGTAAAACGCATTACAATGGGAGTGCGAGGCACAAAGATGTCTGCAAAACAACAAACCTCCTCTCCCGGCTTTGCATCTTTTCGGTCACCCCACTTCCGTAGACTCCTTTACAATAGGTAGCGAGCATGAACTCGCAGTCAAACGAGAGAGCACATGTGATAAACGGTCCTTGGGTTACATGGAGGCTTCAAGAAGGAGTGCCCCCTGCCTTTCCATCCTCCAAGCCTCCGCATCAGCTCTGCGACGGCGGGCGATGGCTCTCATTCGGGCGTGCATCTGCTGAGACACGCTGCCAGTGGAGAGTTGATGGAGGCGGCAATTGTGAGAAAACGCAAACACATCAAGAACGGCAACAAGGATCAGCGGCACCGTGCGATGCCTCTCAACAGTCGGGAGCAATGAAAAAAACACGGCGGAGATTCAGAGAAGGGGGGCATCAGTTCTGTAAACCAATGTTCACATATCCAATAGAACCGAGAGCAGCGATAATAATGAGCGATATCGTCGAAGCTGGCGAAGGTGGGATCGAAAGATTCAGAAAAAAACGAAGAGACAACCATGAAAGTGGGACTGGTATCTGGCACAAGTGTTCACACCTCGTGCAAACACGCGCAGGAACGAATGGCCAATGTATGGTCCTGACATCATCACAACGCACTTTATTGCTTTCAGCGCGTGAATTGCAGCATCCTCTGGAACCTCTCCCATCCGCCTCCTCATGCGGATCATAAGATCGGCAGCTACATCGTGGGGGAACCCAGCAGGCGCCGTTAGCGCACGACCAACTGCGGCCTAGAAGAGCTTCTCCTCCTCAGGGATACCTTTCGGCGTAGCAACAAGAACACCTCGGACTGCGGTGGGTGCACAACAGAGCTGGAGCAAAACTCGCACTGGCCCATCCTGACATCGTCCTAGCAATGCAAGCGGCATCACTCCTGAACAATGTCCACGTCCTCCAGGATCTCCAGGAATTGAAAGCATCTCGAAACCGTCCTGAACTTCGTAGCCCGAGAAACGACTTCCAGCTTTTGACTTTTCCAGGAAAGCCCAGGGAGTGCATCTTCGTCAGCATCTCGTAGATGAAACTGAACCGAGGGCCGACCGCTGGAAGCTGCAAGGCAAGGACACAGTGCGAGAGAGGGGCGAACTGCATGACAGAGGAAAGAATACTCAGGCATAAGATGTGGAACGCGGGGGTATTCTCAGCGAGCGTAAGAAGACCAGCCTGGCGCGCTTCTCCCACCCTCGAAGCAAACTTCGCCGCCGGCTTACTCCAGCAATTCAGGTGGGCGGATCGTCCAATCATCGTGCCAAGATGCTTGCAGGCCGTCGCGACCTGCAAAGCACCGAGCTCATGGAGGTGAGCAGCGATGTGGCTTATCAGACGTTCTGGAAAATCCTAAGCGTTCACCAACAACATGTACTCGTGTACATTCAGAGCGAGACCGACTGCGCCGATGAGAATATGGATGCCTTGAACCATACGGGCAATCTGATACATGCTGTCCGAATGCCATGCAGACCTTCAACGACATACTCACGTTTAAGATGGGGACCCAGTCATCAGCACTTACTGATCTATATCTGGCGTGGGGCCGTCCCGAGGCAGGGGAGCACCGTGGGGGCGCCCCCCCCCTTGGCGAACTTCTCTAGCAATCTCGCTCGAATAATATCTTTTTCCCATTCTTGATATAAGAGCAGTATTGTCAGAGGAAAACGTGCGATATACCGGAACAATAAACCTAGGAACGCCCATAGTCTCCAGAATCGCAGGAAACCGCTCGATGGATGAAGATGGGAACGCGGCAGAGTAATCCGCCAGGACCATCGAGCTATCTCCGTTCCGAGCGCATGTTCTGACGGCGCCCGCGTTTCAGCGCGGGCAAGATGCGCAGCCATGCTGCGGCCAGAAATGCGCGCCTCAGAAGTTGAAGCCACCTGTTGGGTAGCCTCGCTCAAAAGGCGGCGCGTGCGCGAGCTCTGTAGTTTCGCATCCGTTCTGGCTATGGAGAGGGGGCGCGTCTCCTCGGGGGCCCTGATGAGCTCGTTGCCAACGTCGTCCTGAGAGTCGCCCTTCGGCGGGAAGGATATATGAACTTCCAGCGTGCCCCGATGGGGGTTTCCATGTTCGCCGCAACCAGATCTAATTGGACATAGGAAAAACACACGCGGGACATCGCTGGGTCGCCAGCAAGAATATGGCATCCCATCGGGCCTGGGCATGCTGCGTTTACGCTGCGGGACGGCGTCGCTTTCGAACGTCGCGCAATCCAATTCCCAAGAGACACTCGCCCCTCAGGGCCGGGCCACTGGGCGCGGCCCCTCGGATGTCGCAACAAAAAAAAAAGCAGCCTCGGAGCCTCAGCAGACGCTTCAGGGGTGGGGCAAGGTCGTCTATCTTCGCCCACCACTCCTCGGCGCCGCGCGTGGCGACGGAGCAGTTGCCAAGAACCACGACGACGAGCAATCTTTTTCTCCTCCGTCATCCTCTGGAAATCATCGGGGGGGGGGGGGGGGGTCGTTCTCCAGTTCCAGGGCCTCAGCGTCCAACGTCTTCAAATTCAGTCCTCGCGCGTGCTGGGAGAGCGGGGGCAAGTCGGTGCCATCAAAGGTGGTGCCATGAATGTATTCGCGTAGCTTAAGGCAAAGTGTGGTGGCGTTGTCAATCGCCATTGCGTTCTGCAGCCTAAGGCCGCGAAGTGCTGCCAAAGACCAGGGGTGGCGCTCCTCGCGCGTGCGGAGCAGCGCGCGGCTCAATGCGTCGGCGGGCTCAAACGGCGGCGGAATGTATGCGCTCTTTCGCCAGCCGCAGCGGTGCATTCTTGCTTTCGGACTTGTCAGGAACGCGCGTGGATATGGTCGACGCGACAGGGGTATGGCCCGATGGCATATCGATCCTGAGGCGGCCAATCGTCGAAGTCGAAATAGTCGCATCAGCGCGAACAGTACTGGGAAGCGAGAGGTAGGTGCGATCCAATCTAGCGGCATGGTCAATCACATTGTCTACGATGGCCTCGCGCGTATCCGTATCCTGGTAAAACTCGATGAGATCGGGCAGGGTAGCGCGAAAGGCTCGCGCATGACGACGGCCCCCTGGGCCCCGCAACCCCCCGCGCGCTCTTCGACGCTCCCCGCCCTCCAGCGTGAAGTTCCAGTTGCCCAGGAGAGTCGCGGAGTGCTTGGCGGTCGAGGGGGCCTCGCGGCGGAGCAGGAGCAGCGCTGACAAGTAAACGTTCATGTTTTCAGACGTGCTCGGCATGTGGACGTTCGCTGAATTGCATTGGCCGCGCGGGCCCGTCGGCGTCGCCGATTGCGCCCGGCCTCCAGTCAGTGGCCGGAGGGCAACTTGCGTGCGTAAACCGACCAACTTCTTACCTGCGGCAGTATGGATACCACCAGTGCCAGCGCTATCATGAAAAAGCGAGCCGCCCAAGGTGCGAGTGAGGATCTGTGGGTAGAGATGGTCCATGTCTCCTGGGTGGCCGTGGGTTTACTGGGTAGCGACGATGTCTTGGGATTGACAGAGACGCTCAAACATGCGCATCTTCGCGTGCGTGCGATCCTGACGGATAAAGTGACATGTCATGATCAGTCCACCAGCATTCCAAGAACATGCAGAAAAAAGGGGGAAGGGGGGCAGTGGGGAAAAGCAAACTCTCGACTAGGCACATCGCACGGTGCAACACGTATCGTTGGCAAAAAAGATTGGCACAACAAGGGGGGGGGGGGGGCTCGGGGGCGGCGGCTGAATCGCAATCGTCGCTCGAGATGGTGCCCCCCCTCCTCCCGCCGGACGTGCCCCCTGTTCTGACCTCGCCGCGGGCGTCCGCGATGCCCCATCCTAGAGGTAGGGCATGTTCTTAGCAGCAATGTTGATGATGAGGTCGATGTCAGTGTCAGTGAACTCCCTCTGGTATAACTCCTCACGGTTCGGAACTATCACAAACTGGCTGTCCTCAGTCTTCAGGGTGAATGGCGTCCGCGGGTCATTCTCAGCCAAGATCTGAAATCGCCCAGAACCATATCCAGAGCACCCCCTGCGCAGGGGACCAGTCCATGCGCCTTTGTTCGCCAACTTCGCGTTCATGGACACCCAGAGGCACGACCGCGCATTCTTCCTCAACCGAGCGGGCAGAGGGATATCGCCGCGGACACGAGTCGGGGAGGACTTGGTTCTGTTGCGGTACGGTAGTCTTTCCACATCGAGGGTGACATGAAAACCCGTTGCT